CTGATAATATTTAATAAAAACAACCCCAGTTCTCAATTTATCTTCAGAGAAAATCAATCTATCTCTATGAGTTAGGCCTTAGGATATACAAAGTTCCTGTTTTAACTTGATTTGATCAATGTTAAAAGAATCACCGAATTCTGACAAAACGTGATAGATACTTAAATGTTTTGTTTAATATCTGTTTTTATTTTCCTAAAACAAAATAGTGGTTGAGTTTTAAAACGGGCTTCCTCTTCCTTAAATCTTAACAGATTTTAAGGCAATTTGATAGGCAGATGACATTTACACAGAAATATAATTGAGTGAAGTCATATTTTTTAGGAATGCTATTTAATACTGAATCTTTTTCCTTTCTATTTCCAGAAAGATCTAAGGTTGTATTCCTCCAAAGTCTAATCAGCTTCTAATGAACATATGTAAACAAATTTAACAGTAAACTAAGTAAAGCAATAGAGAAAGTTAAAACTGGAAGAAAATAAAAATACATCTTCTGCTACACATTTCAAATTGTCCATGCCAGTGTTAACCCTTAGGGCAGACAACTAGAGAATTCGACCCTAATTCATACTACTATATTTGGTGTGGCGCCGCGGGATAGTGCACTAGATTACAAATTTGGTTTGAACCTCAAAGTCAACAGCTCAATCTTACCAGTTGCACCTGGGAAACACTATACAGCGTGGCTATGAGTCAGAACCCATTCAAGAACTGTTAACAACACCACCATACTAAAGTAGGACAGGGTTCTAGTCTGATGACTCCAGCAAAAGTTGGTTTGATGTAAGTAGAATAACTCCATTAAAAAAAAAAAAATTGTTTTCATTATTACTGCTTTTTATTATCAGTATCTTTAAAAATCTGATTTTTATCTTTCTTTAAGGGTTGGAAACATTACATATAAAGTTACAGATACGGTGGCTCAGTAAACACATGTGCAACATTGTATACAGTATAAATTGCTAGCAATTATATGTAAAAAAAAATAAAATGGACAGTCATAATTATGTTTTATTGTAACTTGAATGTGTCCTAAGTCGGGGACTAGCTGTAAATGGTATTCTCTGTGGAATGAGTGGGAAAGGAAATTAGAAATCTTCATAAATGAACAACTGAAATAGAACTTTAACATTCTGTATAAATGAGGTTGGAGTCCTGGTGTAGCACTGTGGGTTAATGTGCCAGACTGCAAAGCCATTTGAACTGCAAGGTCGGCAGTTCAAGCTCACCAGCTGCTCCTTGGAAACCCTATACAGGGTCGATATGGGTCAGGTCGGAATCGACTGGATGGCACTTAACAACAACAACAACATAAATGAGGTTAAAAGCAAATGTTCATTATTTAAATTTCCTAACAGAATGAAAAGCACTGGAATCAATCACTGTTTAGCTTTTGTCTAGCTTAATGACCCCAAGCAAGACAATTAATACCTTAGAGTTTCATTTGTCAAAGTGAGTGAAAAATATGTTTTTACTTAACTCATACAGCTAGTAAAGAGCTAAACGCAAAATATTTAGGAAAAAAGTTTTTTAAATAGCAGTACTATCAAAAGAATGTTATTATTATTGACTTGATCCAGAATTGCAAAGTACTCTCCTATTCTTTGCAAAACAAACTTATTCTTGGCTTCTGATCATTATTCACACTACCAGAAAATGTTAAAAGTCTACTTACCTCCCAGTTTAACAGAATTATAAATAGTCCTTCTAAATTTCTGCTCCAGTTTCTACCTTATTCTGCATTTCCAAAGAACCTACCTTACTGGCTTGCCTAGAACTCAGAACGGTCTTGCTACAGAAATTAAATGCTCTGACCTGGCAGTGACAAGCTGATTCTGCTCACAATTCACTGGCCAGAACTAGTACATTGTGTTTAGCGTCTCTGAGTGGGTTCAGACTCATAGAGACCCTGAATAGGCTTTCCAAGGAGTGAATGGTGGGTTTGAACAGCTGAGCTTGAGGCTAGCAGGTCCTATGCAAACACAGGGAGCATGGTGGCTTTGAGAATAAGCACTGGATCTCGAACCACAAAGTTGGCGGTTTGAGCCCACCAGCCTCCCCTCAGGAGAAAGATGAGGCATTCTGTTCCCACAAAAATGTACAGCCTCTGAAACCCTACACAGGGTCTGCTATGAGGGAACCAGAGGCATTTGACACACCTTCATTGATGTTTATCATCACTGTTAATTTAATAACACTGGGACCCTAGCCAGAGAAGCAGGGAACCAAAGGCAGATGGAGGCCTCCAAAGTGAAGGGAAGGCATGGAGAGGTAGTGCGGTTGAGGGACTCTAAACCCATGGTATGGGAAAGCTGTGTGCCAGCGGGCAGGAGTCTGGCTTGCAAAATGTGTTGTTTGGTTGCTTAAACGAATATATATTTCTGTGTGTTTTGTGTACATTTTAAAAAATATGGAATAGAGGCAAATACTGTTAACCAATGGCGCATGGAGGGAATTGTAATCATTCAATGAAACAAAATAAGATTGGTTGTGTGCTAAACTGATGCTCTGCCATGTGAATTATCACTCAATTCACAATAAAAAGCTTAACAAACAAAATAAAGCTAAACAAAAAAAAGTTTCAATAGCATTCACAGAGAGAAAAAATAGCCCTTTAAAGGGAAATATTAGAAAGATTCTCTTGCAAAGATGTTCCTGGTGTGGCGCTGTGGGTTACTGCACAAGAATGCAAAGCCATTTGAACTGCAAGGTTGGTAGTTCAAGCTCACCAGCTGCTCTTTGGAAACCCTATACAGGGTCGCTATAGGTCGGAACCAACTCGATGGCACTTCACAACATCTTGGTGTGGTGCTGTAAGATAAGCACTGGAGTTTATAGATAAGCACAAGGTCTGTTTGAACCACAAGTCAGTGGTTGATTCAAATTCACCAGCTGCTTCTCAGAAACCCTATACAGGGTCCCTATGAATCAGAACCAACTCAAGGACATTTAATAACAACAGTCTCTAACAAGCTGAACTCTGTGTGCTGGGCATGTTTTCCCAAATTGAACTTTGAGCCTTGAATTCAATCAAGTTAGTTGTCTCATAAAAGTGTTAATTCTTTCCGAGGGAGTATTTAAATATAACCATCTGAAATACTTGGATTCCTTCACATTCATCAATCTCAGAATCTACTACAGAGTCACAGTAGTCAAAACAGCCAGTTTGCTGGTACAATGACAAACACAAGGTCAATGGAAAAGAATTGAGAGCCCAGAAGCAAATTCATTCACCAATGGACAACTGACCTTCCACCAAGGTTTGTTGTTGTTTGCCATCGAGTAAACTCTGACTCATAATGACCCTGTACAGGATT